ACCATCAACTGTGAATCATAATGCTTATTCTCTAGACTGCTGTGTAACCCTCATTTAGCCCTATTGAGTAAGTAGACACTCTCAAGGTCACTTTAGTCTCGCTCAAAATTATAGCCTCACTGAAAATTCAGTTTCTGATGTTTCACAACTTGATGTAATATGATTTATCGAGGTAATTTAATAAAATCATTGATTTTCTTGATGAATATCATGTGTTGTTGTCTCATTTCAGTAATAACCTATTCAAGTAACTTAAACATAAGAAAGTAATTTCATATTGAATCATTTTAAACTTTTCTAAAAAATCACGGAAATACTCTGAACTCTCCTATACACAGAATAAAGGTTACATTATAGGGGATATGTCATTAATAGTTAATTAGATAGCCTTCTTGGTGGTGATAGAGGTTAACATCTGTAAAATGTTAAAAGCTTTAATTATGAACAAAGGATAAACCTAATTTTGTTGAGTCCTACACTAGGACGAAGCGGCCGTCCAGTGCTTCCAAATTTTCCATGGTGCTCTAGCTTCAATTGACTCATGAATTCAACTATTAAATTACTATAATATTCACAAAACCCTTTTCTGACAAAGTTAATTAGTTGTTTCAAAGAGAATATTTCATTCTCCACAGTTTACATCTATTGATATGTGACTTTTCTTATATACATTAAATGAAATTTTGAGCAAATAAAATAACATGTCAGTTTTACATTCAATCATGTCAAAAGTAACTAGTCAGCAACTACCAAGTGAAAATTGATACTTCATATGAAAAACTAACTTAAGATGTAGAAATTATGAATGAAATCATTAGAAAGCAAGCAATTTTAAAAAAATGATACTGACCAACCATTTATGGAATTTAATAGTGTTATTTTTCTTTTTAGACATTTGTGCATAAAAATGTTATTTTATTGTAGTGAAAATTCTATTTATCGGAATAGTGATTTTGTCTTTAATTTCTAATCACTGTGGGTTTAATGTCTATAATTCGATCTTGCGAGTAACCATCACCTAACTATATTGTATCATTGTATATCACTTACTGGTCAAGATTTTTTTCACTTTAACGATCGAGAGTTCGTTCGTCAGATCAAAAACCTTTTCTACAACCACTTAACATGATGAATTAAAAGCAACTGAAGACTGACTAATATCCAGTTGAGGGTGAACAACCTTTTAGTTTTGATTTGGTCTTCTCATTTGTGGTAATACAAAACTATACACTATTTAAAGTTTAGGGTACAAGTCTAATACTACTACGTAAATAAATGGTAATCGATTATATACATGCATTTTTAATCTCAGCCTATCTGCGGCTGAACTACATCGGTCATATCCGCATGTTAAAACTCACTATTTCTATCATGAAAGTATTTTTTGGTGACTACCCCAGATAAAACAAGACAGGAGTCATGGACTATTGTGAACTAAATGCAATTACAATCACTACATGAAACCTAAAGGATTAGGGTTTAATCTTATGGAGGCACATGTCTATGATATACTGAAGTGTTCTGAACTAAGAGTCATCTATCATATACTCCTTAGTTTTCAATCATTTCCTAGTTGATCATAATGTAATATGTAAACTAATTGCATACATTTTCTAGATCATTTCATTTAGTAATCTAGTATAACTCGTTTTAAATTTTTATTGTATTCAGACGACTGTAAATCAAAATTTTACGCCTAATAATACTGTTTGTAAAGTCCTTTGATAAGAAGATCAATCATTTTTACACTATTTTGGAAATCAAGTTATTTCAAGAGAAGTATTTCATTACTTTTGATACAGCTGAAACATCTGCGTTTTTTATTTAATTGAAAATGTTTATTGTTATCAAAGTGGAAACTGATTTTAAAAAAGCCTACTTTTATCAAAATGCATGTGATATTTTATTTATTTCTGCCACACTGGATAGATTGTAAGGTAAACTATAGGCAAATGTGAAGTATCGTTTGTACAAATACACAAAGAAATCGACGTTCTCCTACTTTGAAAACCATTAGTTCTGTTTAGAACTTATGAGAAAAATGTACGTGGACCTATGTTGATGTTCAGATATGAATGAGTTATCCCGTGATTTGGTTAAGCCAGATAGCTACCAACTTATACAATGGTTATAATGTTTTTATCATCACTAACGTCAAGATTGAAATCTAAGAATATCCATATGATTACTCTTAAATAACATGAAATGTGCTTTGCGGACTTCACTAATAACCACAGCCCAACTATTCTAAAATACTTCTGACATAATAGTTGTGTTAAGACGATCCACCCAAGGGGATCATATTTCTACAAAGTTTAACCGACATACAACTCTGAATATCAACAATTTTATAATTCGAACCCCTGCTAGTAACAACATATTCCGAAAGCGAATTTGTTTCCTAATCATTATATTCACTTAAAATAAAATAGTCCACTTGGATAAGGTTTCTTGTTTAGTCATTGATGACTTCAGTAAAATGAAATATTCTCCCAGTCAACAGTTATCGTCATTATTATATAAGCAAACTCTTCGTCATAAATTATGACAAAACTATGTTTAAACATTTATATACTCATTCTTATATGGTTGTAATACAAATGAGCACTTCATACCATAGTATTTATTATCATGTAATACTTATGATGAATTAAAACGTGTGTCTTGATGATAATTATTCAAATTGTGTTGTATTCAATAGTATTTTATAAAACTTATTCAAAATCATTGATTGAGCAGTTGTTGTTGTTTTTCTTTACAAAGCTTCATATATATAATTATTTTCTAGCAGCGGAAAATAATATCTGGAACTTCAGATAGTAATAATAATAATAATGTTATCGGTTATTAATCAAACTCAATTTTTATCTCTAAGGTTATCTGGCTCAATTATCAGTGTCAACATTAACTCGTAGATGAAAGCACATTTACTTGACAAATCCCAAATAGAACGGAAGTTTCATTCTAGATCTCACCATTAACATTTATCAACATATACCAGATCTTAAATGTCCACTCTTAAAATATCTTACGTATTAAACATTAGTACTGTTATCATCATGATAATGATATCTTAACCAAATCAAATCGAGGTTTTCATTTCAGGAAAATTGTATTTTTAAAAAGTTCTAGATCAAGAATCCATTTTAAATGCTTGGTTGTATTAGGTTTGAAAATCAGAAATAATGATTATTAATGTACAGAAGTTATTACTCATATATATTTATCCTTAGTAGTTTTTTAAATGCTGTCACAGATATCAAACCCTTCATTTCATAAGTTAAATAGATAACTAAAAGTTAGTTTGATTAAGATTTGAAACCAAAGGAGAAAAAACTAATAATAATCAACAAGTGATTCACAGTTGTTTTTCCTCATTTTAGGACTCTTTATTATTGCATAACAACAGTCAGAAACAGATTCAAATGCAAAACATATACATTTAACAGTGAGCATAATATTACTTAATTCACCGATCCTTATCTTTTTATATCTGACTAAATTATAGTATGCAATATATTATAAAGTCTGTTACATTTTCCTAAACACAAATAACTATTATTAAACGTTTTAAAGCAAGCCTTGTAATACTCAGTATGAGTAATATTGGAGAAATACTTTAAGGAATTTCGAATCAATATATGTCTATAAATTCTAAGAAATAACTTTCTCCTCTGATAAATGATCGCGAAATGTAACAAAACGACCATTTAATATCATCTGACTTTTAATTGGTGCTGTGATAGATGTCGAATGATAATGAATAACATACGCAACTTGTGAGAAGTCTCCTATCCTGAAAGATATCTTACCGAAGATAAGTACAAAATTATTATGTATGTGACCAGCAGTGTAATACAGGATGCAAAATTGTTACCGAGATGCACCAGTATCTTTCCGTAGATCTTCAGTTCTCAGACTTGAACTCAGAATATTTTCCTTCAAATGCCATATTCATTATCCTCCAAACTCCTGAATACTTATAACCACCAACTCCAACGATTATAGAGATATTAGGATTTGTATTTTCCGTTTTTTGATATTTAAGACTGTAGATGATCATTTTTCATCGCCATATATGTACGTCTTGAGTCAGCTAACACTATATAGCACTGTCATAAGTTTTAACTGATTTGGCATGTGGCTAGTGGTAAAAATCAACACAAACCCTTAATAATAACATGGCGTTTTCCTAACCGCTTTTGTTTTCATTTCCATCTTGTGTCCCAACTTGGAAAATACACTTATCCAACACAAGAATCATAATATTACAAACTTTAATGCATATTACAGGAAATCTCAAGCTTTTATTTATTTTTATGGAAAAACCATAATGTGCCATATTAAAATCCTTAATTTTCGTGAATCAAATGTATATAAGCTAATTCATTCTATATATAAGAACATATACATACAAACGCACTTTCATGTTGAATAAATAAATACCGTTGTTATAAACGTTTCAGAAATTTAAATAATTTCAGGGTATACAATTGTTGTTTAAAATAAAACGATGATCAGAATTGAGTTTGTGGAGATTGTAGTAATTTAATTAGCTGAATTCATGAGTCGATGTAAGGTAGATCACCGACGAAAACCTGGAAGCACTGGACGGCCGTTTCATCCTAGTATGAGACTCCTCAGAAACGTGCGTGAACAGTAAAGCTCAATCTGTGTAGGTTAGAGAGAGATATCTACGTAAGACAATGGATGAACGGTTGCTCATTCATTCATGGATTGATGGAAGTTAGATATTAACACCGTTCCCACTCAAGACCAAATGTTCTGGGTTCGAATTCCGAATTCAGGATCATGAATGCACGTGGTGAGGAGTTCCATACTAAGACGAAACGGCCATTCAGTGCTTCCAGGTTTCCAGTGGTAGTCTAGCTTACGTTGAATCATGGATTCGAATATTAAAATAAAATTGATAAGTGAATAAATCAATAAATTTCAGTTTTTAACAATAATAATGATCATTGTACTTATATACAACTTACCTCCGTAATTCCTCATGAAACAATTCACAATATTCATTGATAAATGATAAATGGTCTTATTAACGTCATAATAATAAATTAGATGTTCTTAAAATGTGATTATTATTGAATACGATAACTGAGCAGATATATTCATCAATAGATTGTAAGAAATAATTTGAAATGATGAAAATAAAAATAAAGAAAAATTTCCAATAGAGTGAAATAATGATAATACTAATAATAGCAACAGCAACAACAGCAACACCAATCAAAATCACTTATGTTTAGTTATTTTGATCTGGTTTTTTTTTATTTACTCGAATAATGATACTGAGCTGATAAATGAACTAGTTCGTTCAATGCTGGCAGTAATAATAGAAGTAGTGGTGGAGCACCTGCTAATAGTCGACCAATGTTAAGCAAATGAAAGAATAAACGGCCGTCCTACTAAAAATATTGATCATCTTTTTATTTTAGAAAACAGACATGAAAGGACAGATTCATATATATATATTCATATATATATATATATATATATATATATATATATATATATATATATATATATATATATATATATATATATATTACTTGTATACTGATGCATATAAATACATGCATACATTTGTTGTATATGACGAAAATTAGAGAAGGGGAACAAATTATCATAAGGTAAACTAGTGAGAAGTGATCGAATGAAAAGACTAGTTTGTAAAAATCTATTTTTTTCCCAAATGATAGGCAAGAGATAGCTAAGTGAAATTTTTTCTATTTTACTATCGAAAAAATAAATAAATAAAGATGTTGTTAATTTTCGAAATAAATTTAATCAATATATCGTTATATGAATTAATAAATTTGAATGAGATGATAATTTATCTGTTTTGAGCATCAGTCCTTGAAGTCATTAACGTCTGATCTGATTCATGTTGGTAGATGCAGACTACTTGGTTGGGGTCCGCGTGACTATTGTAACCAATAATTGGAGACATTAGGTGATATGGCTCAGAATCGATCACAATGGTGTAGGTGTATACACTCTTTGTCTGCTCTTAAATCATGAGATTAAAATTGTTTTATACCATTCTTTCTCCCTGTATCATATCCTTATATGAAATCTTTCTTTTATATATTACTACCATTGAAGTAACTACTTCTATGAATTTGTTCATTTTATTGTGCTCATGAAATGTGGCAACTTGGACCAATGCATATATGTGCCTGGTCCTACGTTGTAGCTGATTGACTGACTGACCATTATGAGTATTATCGAGATTTTGTTTTTAACAAAAAGATCTGGATATTTTTTCAGGTTATTTTGGTATACTTTTATAATACTTTGCATGTTCACCTATAAGTTCATCACTTTAAATATTTTACAAGGTGGATATTCGTGTATTTGAATTATGAGTTAGAGTCTTAATGTTAGGACTAGTGATACTACTCTATTGTCTTAAATAAAGTAAGTGAAGCGAAGTTGTGATCTATGACTTGATGACAGAAAACCGAATGCTTTAACTCCAAAATCATTACTTTAGTAACATAAAGAAAATTGTTGTTTCATAGTTATATATATATATATATATATATATATATATATATATATATATATAACTCTGGTTTATCCAAGATTCCCAAGTCAGGACTTTCACTTCTTTCAGTTTTGGATATTTATAATTCTTCATACCACAGAAGTGAAAGTTAGATAATTTGAATCTCAGATCCCCTACAGAAAGTAGTCGTTGGTAAAAGGGTTAAAGACGTTTTCGATTTCATTTCCAAGGTGAATTACAGTAATTAAAACGGGAAATGAATAAAATCCCAAGATATTTCTTCCTTCTGTACTAGTGTTATTACAGACTGCTGGGAACTCGTAGATATCATTACTTAAAACGTACTCAACGTATTTTAATAAGCGGAAACTATGTATGTTTAACTGACTGTCGTGTGATTAACAGCATCAACAGCATAGTTGAGAGATGAGTATTCACTAAAACCGAGTCATTTACCCAAAGCCCTCCTGTGAAATTATGTCTAAAATTTTTGATTGAGATCATATAAAATGATAGCAACTGGTAGACAAGAAGAATCCACTTTTGTTGTAAGATGGTGTGTGACACTACAGGATTTACAATTGATTGATCTTTGGGCGATGATTGATGTCATGTATGTCAAAACCTTCTTAGTGCAGATCGAATCCTATCGACCAAGCTGCAATGTGGTCACTAATCTAGGTGACTCGACATTGCGTGCACTATGTTGAGATAAGATGGTGATTGGAGGTAGTCAACAGGAGGTATTCGGATTCTTTCGAAAAATAATTCACTAAGTTCAATTTACACGATTCGGTCATCATTAAAACCTAAACAAACATACAATTAGTTACTACCTAATGATTATCCAGTGCTTATCGTTTTTCTGATAAAACGTAAAACTTACTTTAAAAAATCAATGTAAAATTTAAATGATAAAATTTATTTTTAAACGTAAATTGCTGTAGAGTACTGATTTCATAATTCACCCATCAGGTAATTAAAGTGAGATCTAACATTTAAGATTATTAATTAATGATATTCAATAATATTTGTTTCGGGTTATATCCTCACTTGTTGATATTCAGTAGAAAATGATTGAGTTTCTGTTGATATATGAGATTTAGATGATCGGATTTGTTGGTAACCCCCACCATCTACAAATGCCGATATTTATTAATACATAGTTCATTATGATAAACTACGATCTAGAATGAGTGATAACAACTGGAAATCCTGTTGAAAATGCAATGCAAAGCGTATGCAGAGTGAATATGTTTTATACTGATCTTTGACTTGAACTCAGTAGTCCGTTGCATAATTATAGCATTTCTTGACAGAGAATTCAAATTTAAGTGATCCTACTTCAAATACAATTTAATTTAGAGATTTCATAAAGATGTATTTGAGAAACTATGTTTAACACATCGCTGACGATATCATTAGAAATTTCTCTCATATTTTATTTTTTAAGTATCTTAGATAAAGTTCCGGTGACAGGATGCACCCTATGATATTTAATCTTATGGTTATCACTAATGTTGGCTACTATTCTTTGATCAGTCAATATTAATACATTAGTGTTACAATTGGTTATACATTTCTCAAATATCATAGTGTTAACTTATGTGACTATGATATTGTATCGGGCGAGAAAAATCCCATTACGAATATCAGTCCTAATAAGATTACAGATACATCGTCAGAACAAGCGAAAGCTAATAAGAAACATAGATCAAGTATTTCACACTGTATCCGATCACTGAACATCATACATTATGTTAGTCTATGTTATACATGTTTCAACATCATATCGGTATTTTAAAGTAGAAACTAATTGTCTTCTATTTTTCACAGAAGTATTAGTGAACTTATTTAAAGTATATGTTGATATCTTACATTGAAGAATTTCTCATTGTACTTAAGCCTCAATGGGAAGATACAAGCCAAACAATACCAAGTGAATTTAAATTCACCCCATCGCACAAGCAAGTGGCTATCAGAAATCAGTAGCTGAGTGGATAACGCGATGGCGTTTGAAGCGAATGGTACTGGGTTTGAGTCCCAGAATGAACGTAAACTCTGAGATGCAGGTACATCCAACTGAAAAGTCCCAAATAGGACGAAACACGAGTCCTGGATTCCACTGCTAGCCACTATCCATCATATTTTTATGTAGGTTTAAAATTCAGAAAACTGATTCTATAACTGAAAATAACGGTTATCAGTGTAAACTGTATATATTCTGATATTTAATTATGTAATCACTTTTGAATGTCAGACAATAAAATAACATGGATATTTCACCTTGATTATCTTGGAATGTGATATTTAAATTATAATCATTAACCTTCTGACCCAATAATGTTTCATATTGAGTTTACGCGTAATTTACTAACAAATATATCCTAGTTTACAATATTTTAATTAACTGATATGTTACGTGTTCAAGGGTACTGGTTTATTTCTTATAAATATTATTTTCTCAGTAAATAATAGTTATAATTCTAATTGTTTGATATAAGGGTAAGTTATCTAAGCATCAACTATTATCAGTTATGAACGTGGACAACCTCATCTTATGTGTCTTGAACTTGATCGATCCAAAAAGTGTAGTTAAATCCTGACTAAACAGTCTAGTCAACTAACTAAACAAGAATGATTCGACTAGTAATTATGGTATGTAAAATAGATTTTTTGACGTCTATTAATGTAGAACGTGATACACAACATATTAAAATATAAAGGAACCAATCAAAGGAAAAATCTAACTGGGAACAATGAAAGTGCGTAATTTGATACGATTTGTTCACAAAGAAATTTGAACTTAAAATTGCAAATAATCAGTTGAATATAAAACATATTGTTATATCCGAGCAAAGATTAAATCACGAGTAATTTCTGAGACATTAATTGACTAATATTATCTATATATTCTTACGGTATAACTATTCATTAGTTAGGTTATGTATATTTATATTCCCCTTATCATAAGCTTCACTTTGACCTATAATTTATCACTGTACGATTTACTGTCCCTAAATTATGCTCAGTTTATTAATCGCTGTCTCCCACATTCACAGCCACTTTTTGGCTTATTTGTGTACATATGTTAATTCCTATTTTATGGTACGTTGTGGTCTGCCTGATTGATATATAAACCGAGTATGTCTGAAATAAATGATTTGGTTCGATTTTGGTTGATTCGGAAGCTGCTTTTGTGTTCTGGACTCAAGAGGACGGGTTAGAAGGACGTAGGACCTAATAGGACGCTAGACTGCTCAGACCGGTTGAACGTCATTGGTCTTGTCATAGTGCGAATATTCGTATAAGCCGTATTCTGATTGGTGTATAAGTCACGTGATCGTAAGCCGGACATCAAATCATAACACATATTACATGTTATGTGAAGTACTTTCCCGTCCTCAGTGTCATTGTATTGTGTTAACAATATTCACTTTTAAGAAAAGTAAAATAATTAACAATAAAAGTGAAGTGTATGAACGAACCAATCAGACTTGAGCTTTAAATGAGTTCACCATTTTTGAATAATAGTTGCTCCTAATTTGTGATAAAAACCCTAATAAGGAATATATAAGGTTAATTATTCATGTTAAAATTTAACTATAATTTTATTACTCTTTATTATAAATTGTTGTATAACTAAAGACTGTCTTCTCATTAGCTAGAAAGCAGTTCGAGTTCGTTTATATACTTTTCTTCAATATAGTTAAGACGACCAAAAATAAGCTGTTATTCATAAACGTGCTAATAATTCACCATCCTTTACATTCATATTTTCTTAAACAATATTTAATTTG